TCTCATCATCCCAGACATCTGGAAGGTGGGGAGAGGGGTCCCACTGCTCAAACCGGGGAAACCTGCCAACATAGGAGATTCTTATCGGCCGATAACACTCCTTTCCCCGGTAGCGAAGACACTCGAGGCCTTGCTGCTCCCGTATTTCACAAACCACTTGACCCCAGCGAAGCATCAGCATGGTTTCCGTAAAGTGCACAGTACAACAACAGCACTTAACGCCATAAACACTCAGATAACTCGTGGCCTTAACCGTAAACGTCCCTGTGAGAGAACGATTCTAGTAGCGTTGGACCTGACAAAGGCTTTTGACACTGTCAGCCATTCCACGCAACTAGAAGATATAGAGGCTTCCTCTCTCCCACAGAGGCTCAAACGGTGGTCGGCAAATTATCTGAGTGGTCGACACTCGTCGGTAATGTTTAGAGACAAATCAAGCAAACGCAGAAAAATAAAACAGGGGGTTAAACAGGGTGGTGTCCTTTCCCCGCTACTGTTTAACTTTTACATTTCAAAGCTCCCTCAACCACCAGAGGGAGTCTCGATTGTCTCTTACGCCGAAGATTACTCGATCATGGCGACTGGGAATGGAATTGATGACCTGTGTTCGAAAGTAAACGGATATCTCTCTGAACATTCTCGCTTCTTCACTGCAAAGTGTCTAGCCCTCTCCCCTACGAAATCCTCTGCGACCCTGTTCACAACCTGGGCGAAGGAGGTCAGGCTATCGCTAGGAATTCACGTCGATGACACACCAATTCCGCCGGTGAATAATCGGAGTAACATTCGACAGCCTGCTCTATTTCTCTGCGCACGCAACCGCTATTGTCAATGAAGTACAGAGAAGCAACAAGGTCCTCAAGCCGCTAGCCGGCAGTACTTGGGGCAAAGACAAAGAAACGTTGCTGGCAACATACAAGGCAATAGGCCGGCCGGTTTTAAACTACGCAGCACCAGTGTGGTCGCCGGAGACTAGTAGGACGCAGTGGATGAAGCTACAGACGGTACAAAACACAGCACTTAGGACAGCGAACGGATGCCTCCTGATGTCACCAGAACACCACCTCCACGATGAGGCGAAAATGCTCCCAATTAGGGAGCACAACACGATGCTCTGCAACCAGTTTCTGGTTGGGAGCCAGAGATGTGGCCACCCAAATAGACAGCTGCTTGAAGAGGAGCCCTCGCCGAGGCACTTCAGGAGGCATCTATATGAACTGACGGACGAAGTCCAGAGGTTCATTAAGCAGCCTCTAGACCCGTGAGCTTACAGACAGGCCCTGAACGGCATTCACACGACTCGAAACATCTCTTCGCATGCCCGGAAAACCCCACAACCCTAACGGCGTCGTCCCTGTGGACCGACCCCATAGAGGCTGCACGCTTCTTGGGGCTGCCGTTAGTGGAACTCGCGAACAACGACTGAGATATCAACCGGTCTGGGCGGGGTTGTTGTAGCCGCTACAACAACAACAACAACAGGTAATGGTCATAAAAAAATTCGGAGGAAGAAAGTTTATCATTGAGCCACGTTTCAGTGATAGCTAATATATCGTACTCATGCAAAGCTGGTTCGCGATAAAATTGAGTGGTTTTAGTTCGCATACCACTCACATTTTGGTAGTACAATGAAAACAGATTACATTTATCATCGATATGAGATGAGTTAAAATTGTCTACGGGCCTTGCTTGGCAACTCCCGCTTTGAGAAAAAAAACGAAAAGGCGGCACTCTAACGTCAGCCGGCCATATATCGTACAGCAACTTCAACTTCAGTATTGATATTGGATCCAACAACTGTATATAATTTGCTCCCACCACTATTGTCATTGAAGTTTCTAGCTGAGGGACAGTGTAATTGAGCTGGAACCGAAGCAATAACAGCATTAGTGATCGTTTGTTTAGAATTGTCGGTAGGCAGCGAAGTATCAGCACATATCACGTTGTCAGAGGTAACACCAGCATCATTAGTAGAAAACAAGCTTGTAGCGAAGTATCATTGCACAAGTCGACATACACAGCACCAGTAGCTGCAGGTACTTTAGAATGAGAGGGAGTAATTTCCGAAGCTTCATCCAATACATTATCGCTGCCAACCTGGCTTTCGGCATTATCAAACACATCTGAAGTGCATATAGAAGAGCAAGATTTGCTCTTTTTATGTTGACTTGCAAGCTGTGCGGCATTTCTATTAGACTTCTGCATGTTGTTAGGTAACAGTTGACTATGACGAGAATTAGGTGACAAATTTGCAATGCGTTTAAGTGCAGGCTGCAAAAGAGCGGCCTGTTTGATGAAATATTTTGCCTATTAACAGAAGATGAAAAAAGTTTAGGATTCCGGTTATTGACCTTTGCTTTAGAGCGCGTTTGCTGGATATTGTTATTATTTGCACACTCAGTGTTATTGTTGTCTTTATTCATATTTGCACACTCAAAGTTATTGTTGTTTTTATTAATATTTGCACACTGTGTTGTTGTTGTTTTTATTAATATTATCGGAATCTAATTTTGTATACATACGAGAACTGTCAATAGAGTTAAGAAACTCAGCAAGCCCATTTAAGTTTAATAAAGATTCATTTATTTTAACTTGACTAAGTACTGACAGTTGGTTGACATAATTATTGCACTTAAAGAAAATGTTTTTGTTGTTTTTAAGTAAGTTTATGCAGCTCATATTAAGTTTTGAACATTTGGCAAGCACTTTTATCTGGCAATTATCACAAGCAATGAAGTTATCTCCCAAGCACTTGGAATCGCAATTCGTGGCAAAATATGTAAAAAGCCTCTTAAGATTATAGGTAGCAGATTTAACTATTGAATTAGTACAAATTTATGCGATGATGAACTAAGTTCACAGAGCTCAAAGACACACGTCTGCACACGACCGCGGTTTATGTACACGACCGCGGTTTATAACATAGAATAATAATAGGGCTAGAATTGTAATATACAGTGACGAGCAAAACTGTAACATGTAACTGTAACACTTTTTATTTCAGCCACCGCTATCTTTCCAATTTCTAATGACTTTCATTCTTTTGTTGTATATTCTTATTGGTACACCCCTACTCCCTCTCTCATAAAGATTTGAAGTCAATCCAACAACAATAATAAAACCAGCAGCCAAAAATGTAAATTAAGGCAAATGTTGCAGTTTTGCACTCACTCACAGTTTTGCATTTTACAGTTATCTTTTAATTAGTTGGAAGTCAGATGACTTTTTTCTGTATTGTAATTTATTCAAGAAGTGACCACCAGTATATAATATAGTTAATAAGGAACCATAAATATAAATAATAGATTTACTGCGGTAACGCGGGACAGTAGGAAAAGTGACAAAAAATTGTGGAGCTCGCCACATGAATATGTTAAGACTGAGAACAAATATAGCCTAAAATGTTATTAAGGACAAAGGAAGTCTGCCAGAAAATATTACGGTCCGATATCTTGTGAACTTAGTAGCAAGTAGCGCTACAGCCACTATTACAGAAGCGCGTAAGGTATTAAAATTGAACGCAAAGGCATAATAAAAAAAGAAAAAACCATTTTGATCAAAATACATGTGCGAGAGTGGTAGCATTTTGACGGATCGCACGAAAACCGGACCGTTGCCTATTGGGATATGTTAGGCCTTACAGAATGCAATGACAAGACTAAATTAATCGCTTTCAATCAGATGGTCGGGCATGGTATTGGATCAAAGATCCAAATTAAGCCTAAGCGCATCATGTAAGGCAAACTGTGAATCACAGTAGTCGGTCAATAATACTTTGGGGTTGTATTTCAAAAATATTGTTGGTCCGTTAGTACGCATTATGCGTAAAGAACAGTATCTGTTCATATTTCAACAAAATTTGCAAGATGTAGTCGAAAAATGAGAGTTTCTGCTGAAAAATTACCCCAAACACACAGCACATGTTCGCAAAGACTGGATGCAAAAGCAAAAAATTGCTATTTTGAAATGACCTCCACAAACCGCGGATATGAATCTCGTCGAAAATTTGCGAAATCAACTAAAAGCTCAGCTTACTAAGTATGCAAGTGCGTCCAATAGAGTACATGAGCTATGAAAGCAAACCAAGGATATATGGGAGGCTATACCTTTATTTTTTACAGAGATACAAATAAGGTATGCCAAATTGCATCCAGGAACCAAAAAAAGCAAAAGTATACTGAACATTGTGTTAACAATTCTTTTTTTTTCGTGAAAATTGTCAAAAAGTGGTTAAAACTATATAAGAGCAAAACTGTAACATATGCCTTAATTTACATTTTTGTCTGCTGGTTTTATTATTGTTGTTGGATTGACTTCAATTCGTTATGAGAGGGGAAGTACAGGTGTACCAATAAGAATATACAACAAAAGTATGAATGTCGTTAGAACTTGGAAAGATAGCGGTGGCTGAAATAAAATGTGTTACACCATGTTACAGTTTTGCTCGTCACTGTATGTATGTATTATTTGATTGCTTGTAGGGTTGCAATTTTATAATTATTTCATGGCATTACAGTGTCTGAATTTCGATCTATTTTAATTTGGTCGTAGATTAAATTATATCCCGAGTCCCCGGGATCTCGAGGGCTTGATCCCAGGATTTCGAGACTAAAAAGGGCTCGGGACTCCTGAAATTACGAAATCCTGACAATTTGTTGCACGGTGGTCAATTCTTTTTAAAAACTATAAGGCCAGCCGAAGAGAATATTAAACTTGATTTGCGGGACTCGGGGAGTTAAAGAATCGCCATCTTGCAAACAAGAGTGGTCCACTTTTTTCAGCCCAAACGTTAGTATCCATACGTTGTAGTAAAATTCCAATAGGATTTTGCCTACATTCGATGCAACTAGTCTCGCAGCATTCAAAGAGAATTGATCATCATGCAGAAAATAGCAAATTTTCCACACCATCACCACAGCCATCATTCGGAATCGAGGATTTTGTACAATAGATTTGGTAATAGTCCCAAATAAGTGGAATAGATATACATATATTCTTACATATTCCAGTTCCTTAATTGTAAATTGATTTGTGTCGCTTTGTTCCAATGATGTGGCCAGAAAATTCACTTTATCATCAATTGCGCCTCTCTCTACAATGTAATAAGGTTCAGCATATCGGTCTAATGATATAACGGGAGTCACTTGTCCAACCAGTTTAAAAAGGAAATTCGCGGTACACTGTGCTAAATGAGGGTCGATAATATTTGACCAGGATTTCTGTAAATATGAAAAAATAATATTTTAAAATTTTGCATTGAAGAATGTATGAAATGTTACACGAGTGGTGGATAATTTTTTGCGATATTTTTAAGTTACCGTTATTCAGCTTAAAACAAAAAGTGATTCCACTTAATCACGTATATCTTGCGAACCAATTTAATAATTTTAATGCGCAATACGACTCAGGAGAACTCACAAAATTCTCCATAAACCGTACGTACATCACTTTTCGATAAGTCGGGTGGTTTCTGAGAAATTAACTAATAGTTCCAGATTTTTTGTTTTATTTATGCAGTGATTCCACTTAATCACGTATATCTTGCGAACCAATTTAATAATTTTAATACGAAATACGGCTCAGGAGAACTTATAAAATTCTTCATAAACGGTATGTACATACATCACTTTTCGATAAGCCGGATGGTTTCTGAGAAATTAATTAATAATTCCAGATATTGTTTTATTTATGCAATAATTAAAAAAAATCAAACTTTAACGGGGAAAAAATAAAAAAAAAACACATTCTGTGTCAGTTTTTTTTAATTGTTTTAAAGCCTGCTTGCTCTGTTTCAAACAAAAATCAAACTAGTACAGAAGAAAATCGATGGACAAATAAATAAGGAATGAGTGGTCAACTGAAAACGCGTAAAGATTTTTTGTATGAAAAATTAGCAGGAAAGAATGTTGTTCATACGCCATGTACACACTTTCCTGCTTATTTTTCCTACAAAAGATCCCCAAGCATTTTCATTAGACCGCTCATTCCTTTTTTATTTAGCCATCGGTTTTCTTCATTATTAGCTTAATTTGTTTGTAAGAGACCAGACGCTAACACAATTATATAAACACAGTTATTATTTAGCCATCGGTTTTCTTCATTAGTAGCTTAATTTTTTTGTAAATAAAAAAAATTACACATAAACTGTTATTAACCGACTTCACAAAAAGGAGGTTATCAATTCGTTTATTCATTTTTTTGTATGCATGTATGCTACCAAATAACTGTGGACGTCGTTAACCGAGAGAGAGAGAGAAAGGTGTTACCTCAGGGGTGGTCCCATACTAAATTAAACGATAATCTTAACTTTTAATATGAGAATCGAAGCCCGTTTTGGTTTTTGCTTAAAAATTACTTGTTTTTAAAGCTTTTCCCTGTTAAATTTTGATTTTTTTTTTCATTTTTTCGCAAAAAAAAACAAAATCTGGATTTATAAATTAACTTCTCTGAAACTATCAGGCCTAGGTGCCGGATTTCCACTAGGCATTATAATAATAATAATAGATTGTCGCTTACACATATGTTAGTGTTTGGCCATCTTCTCCTCCGATTTGTGGCATGCGCCTTGATGTTGTCACACAAAGGGAGGGACCTACAGTTTTACGCCGACTCCGAACGGTGATTGTATTTTTATGAGAAGTTGTTGTTCATGGCAGCTAGGCATTAAATGACACAAAATATAATGACCAAGTAAGGGCATTATAAAATATCTGTGCCCAGTGTTGCCAACTTTTGAGTTTCTAAAAGCACCAACACTTGGCAAAAAAGCGTTTTACCACACTAGAAGCACTAAATTTTTTTGAATCAAAGGATACTTTTTTCAGAACAGTTTGTATTTAACAAAAGTAAAAAATAAACAATATTTACAAATATAAATCAATACAGAAAACATTTTAGCTCATAACGATTGAGTAGCCCGTACACGTGCTTTGATGACTAATGCTTACGAAGTATACCGAAGTACTGCACATTAAAACTGACATATCTGGCATGGCTAAGCCAGCGGCCTCTGAGGTGCGCATTCTGGCACTTATGTTGCCCTGGGCAGTAGCCATTTCCAGAAGCACATTAGTGCATCAGAAAGGTACTATCGTACCAGACGGACAGCCTTCAGGATCCTGGAGAGACTGAGGGACAAGAAAGCTGAAGAACTGACCGCAGAAGAGCTCGACTCAAAAATCTGGGCCAGGAACTTCATGGCTGAACACCAGGCGAGAGCCATCCCAGCAAACAATTAGGTTTGATATACATTTGAGAATGATTTGAAATCAAAGCCTTTATCAAATGTCAAATGTTTGAAAATGATTTGATATTGATTTGATTTTTGCTTTTGTCTAGATGCATTGCGGCAAATTTTTTTCTGCAAATAATAATTCTGCAAATAATAACCGCGATTTTAAAGCCACTGAGATGTCAGTAAAATTTAAAAATAAATTTAATAACTTTTATAAAAAAAATTTATGGCCAAATAAAAAATAAAAATGGGAAGAAAACACCATCATTCTCAACTGTTTATAATATGAGCAGAATCGGTATTACCAATAGCGAGGAAACAATTAAAATCTAAAAAATTTCGAAAAATTTTAATTGCTATAATTTCCAAAAATAATTCGAATTTCGAAAAATTGTGAAACGTGCATTTTTCTTTTATCGTTGTGAAGCATAAACAGGTAATTGCAAAAAAGCTCGACCTTCGGAAAAATGGTGGCCCCCTTCACAAATTTTTACTCAGTTGCAAATTGGTTTAAGAAATTTTGAAGGAATATATTTCTTTTCCATTTTTCAACTGTCAAGAGTTCTCATTGGGGTGTTTAATAAACTCAGAGTTCTTATTCACATTTAGCCTGTTCCCGTACTCCAGGATTTAGACAGTAATAGTCCGAGGTAGCCGCGGCGTAGAATACCAACCGTTTAGCCATAAAGAAATAAAAAATGTAGCTAAATAGAATTTCCATGCTGATTTCAACCATACCAAGATTATTTGGCGCAAATAAAAACTAAAGACAATAAGAGATTTAAGTTTAACTTTTATATATTTTATATAAACTATTTGACCTATCACTAACATATTGTGCTATTTTGATAATTTAAATATCGTTTACGCGGAGTATACAGTATAACCTTTGGAAAAAAATGTAAATAAGCGGCATTAAAAAAATATATATATTTATATATTTTTTGGTTATTAGGTATTTCTGGCTTAAAAATATAAACAAAAAAATTAAAAATATGTACACCAAGTGAAATACCCCCTAATTACCTTTTTTTGACGTCATTAGTTTTTTAATAGGTTATATTGTTCAGAAGATTTTAATATTAAAAAATCTAAAAATTTAACTTCAACCATTGATATCTTCTTTATTTTTTACTTCAATCAAATTAGCACAAAAATTTCTATCGAGCCAAATTTTTGGTTTTTGTGTAGGGTAATTAAACTGTATGTTTTTACACTTATTTAAATTCTCGGAGGTAAATTTATTGTTCTATGAATTTGGTTGTTATTGAAAAAGAAAATTTTTGATTATTAATAAATAATCTTTCAACGCGATCAAGCAATAAAGAAAAGAAAATTTTAAATCACAAAATATCTTGATATATTGGCGAGCAATAGATTAAGGTCGCAGCATCAACAAAAGCAACGGCAGTTTTGCAACTATCAGGAGAATTTCCGTACTACGTACATTTATGTGCTACTTCTTTACCAAAACGGCCGGTAACATCCAAAGCAAGCGTTTCGCCGCTATAACCCACATCAACGCCTATTGAACACACTGGTTTCAGTCGAATTTTGCTTCGGGATATCATTGATTTGATGCAATGTAGTCATATCTAGTTGTCAGTCACTTTGTCGTCGAGAATTATTGTGTTCAACAATCAATTCTATGAACCGATTAATTGCAGTTCCAAGGTCATGCGTTGCATCATCATATAGATACCAGAAAGTAAAATCAGGCCTACAGCTACTACAACAACAACAACAAGAACAACTGATACAGCAACAGTGACAGAAGTTATTTTCAGTTTTGCTGTTACAGGTAACGAAAGAATAAAAACTAGTATTTGTTTTACATTTTTTTTTTAGTTCGTGTCTGAAGTCTTTAGTTTATTCATTCAGCGTTTGTGAATATTTTATACTCTTCGACTTTGTTTATTTGTTTTAAAAATTAATTTATGGCTTAAAAATATAAAAAAGGAAAAATATGTACACCAAGTGAAATACCCCCTAATTATCTTTCTTTTGACGTCATTAGCTTCTTAATAGGTTATATTGTAAGAAAATATTAATATTTAGAAAAACATCAAAAATAAAAAATCAAAACAATTTAACTTTAACCATTGATATCTTGTTTATTTTTTACTTTTGGTAGGGTTGAAATCAACACAAAAAGTTCTGTCGAGCCAAAGTTTTGGTTTTTGCCAGCTAGATTGTTGATATTCTTATGTGCAGGGAACGACGTCGGACAATTTCTGATTAAATCCTGCAGTACGGGAACAGACTAACTGTCGGCAAGTTGGTTGCAGGTTTTGATTATCAAAGACACAAACCAAATTCGGTAAAAAAGGATTGCATTCGCTTTAACTCCAAATAAAACTGTTTTCCGAGTTTATGAGTAGTGTTTATCGTTTAATTCCAAAACGGCCCATAAACTCGAGTTAAAGGCTCAACGTGAACATACTATTACAGCTTAAAAGAGTTTACCACTGATATGTACTTAAAGAGGATTCGAAGATTTAATTTGCCAACTTCGAAAATGAGCCACATATCTAAGTTCAGTTAATTGTTTTTTTTATATTCCTACGACAGCCGGATCTACGTACCGGAATGACTCGGATCTTACCCGACCAAGGGCTGTTGTTTCGGCGATCTAACCCCGTTTAGGTCGGCGAAATCGATCAAACGTTGCTCGATACTAGGGCTGCATCTGTTCCTTACCCTTCTTCTCAGGGCTGGCATAGAGTCCAACCCAGGGCCAGAAATTTACACCTGCTGTGTATGCCAGAGACGACTGCATACAAACTTCACCTCGGCCAGGTGCAATGCCTGTGACGGGTGGAGTCATCTCCATACCTGCTCGGGCCTACGTACGCACCGGCAATGAACCACGTTGTTCGCGGCCCCATGCTGTGCGAATCGGACTGCCTCCACGGCAAACCACCACCCGCACGTGCAGCACAGAACCAACACACCCACACCACAACACAACACAACAATAGACAC